GCACAGGAATACCTTCTCACAACCACGCAGCAGGCCGGCAACAGGAATATTCCTGGTCAAGACTCAAGGCACAAAGCATGACTCACTCAAACCTGAGTAGCCCTGAACCCTCAACCAGCACCGCCTCCAAATATCACTCATGGTCAACACAGTGATTGGGAGAGGCTCTTAAAATCCTTCCCACCCCTGTGGAGGAACAAATTATGGTGACAATCAATGGGGCACAACTGAAGTTTATTTTTTTTTAAAAAAAAAGTGGCAGGTAGGCTCCTACAGAAGAACAGGAAGGTAGCAGCCTTCTGGCAGATCTGCTGGAGAAAGCTCAGGTGTATAGCTCTTGCTCATTTTTAGCTCAGAGATGTGAATATGTGTATGAGGCTGGTGGGGGTGCAGAGAGAGGCTGAGGCTCTCATGCCCCTGGAGTCACAGTGCGTCTTGGCACCAATGCATAGCGCTTCACTCAAGGGAAGGTCTTTAACACACCCAAGTTCCACATCCCAAGCAGCAACTGTATGGCAATAATGCCCCAATGTTGAGTAAGAATTTTCCCCAATTATCTTCTCAAGAAATAAAACATTACCTCTAGATTTCAAGTGTTATTGATGTCAGGTGGTTTTTTAGGCACTGAGTATAAACCAGTAACTAAAACAGGCAAAAAAAAAAAAAAAAAAGAAAAAGACAAAGACAAAGACAAAGACTCCTTCAAGAAGCTTCTGTTTGGAGCCAGGGATGTAGCTCAGTAGGCATAAACACCTGCTTGGAAAGTACAAGGTCCTGAGTTTAATTCCTGATACCAGGGGCAGACATAAGCAATAAATATGGCAAATAAAGAGACTGTGCAGTCTTCAGATGGGGAGAAGGGCCAGAGAGAAAGAGAAGGGAAATCAGTGTGGTCACAATGGATTGAGGATCACCCCCTGTAATTTCTGCACTGGAAATTCTTTGCAGATGATGACCAAAGAAATCCTCACCATTGCAGAAAAGGATATGAAGGAAAGGGACCGTCAGTACACACAGGACTGGGACTCAGTCTTGGGTAGAGCTTTGTCACAACCTATCCAGTTCTCATACAGGTTAAATGATTACACTAATAGAACCTACAACCAGCTAGCTCAGGGCACATAATGTTGATAGTTCTCATGGCCCATAAGCTGGCTCAAATACATTTATATCTTCATATTAAAAAGTTCACATTATAATCTTTCTGCTTCCTTTATCACCTACTGGTTGAGCACTTACTATGTGCCAAATCCTATTACAGGCACTGAAGGCACAATGAGAAAAGATGCACAAAATATCTGTCCTCATGAAACTTACATCAACCTGATGGAGGAGATGAAAAATCCAACAGTAAATTAAATAGGGGAGATATTGCAAGAAGAAGAAAGACACCATTAAGTAACCCAGACATGAGATGATCACACCCTGACCTCGCATGGCCACAGGCCAGTTGAACTGAATTTCTGATCATCTGTGGTCACTTAGAAGGCCTTCCATAAGGTTCGTGGTAATAAATTGATACAAAAATCCAAGTGTGGCTATTGGCTCCTTCTAAATGCTGAAAGAGCTGCTTTCTTTTTCTTACTTACAATCTGTTGGGTGGACAAATATACACACTCCCTTCCACCTCCTAAGGGTTTCTTGTAGACTGCTGAAGTGTTATTCCAAATTGTATAAATGAGCATGTGCTTTGGTTTCCAGAGACATTAGCAACTTATTCTAGCACTGTGACTTTGATTTTTTAAAATGATAGTAAGAACAGTAGTAGAATTCTCCAAGCAGTAAAAATGTATTACAATAACAAATAATGACACATCTCTTCTCAGATGACAAAGGGAAAGCTGAAGTCTCATAGAATTACTATTGGGCAGGATGTTTCAGCATGAAAAATAGGGAGGAGTCAAAGACAAACACTGGAGGAAGAATCAGCCCACACTTTTCATGTTCGAAGGCACTAGGTTGGGGGAAGATAGTAAAGACTAGAAACTGAAACTGTATACTGCAACACCTTAGGGAGAGAAACCTAACAGATAAGAAGCCGAGAAAGTTACAAGACAGTGGAGGTGCTAAATGCTTTTCCATACAAGTTCCCACCTCAGCTTTGCTGATCTGGCCAAAAGCTGTCTCCAGCCTGAATAGCTTCATGAAATAGGTTTGAATTGTAAAGCAGCTCAGAGAAGAAGTTCCCCATGTGTGGCTGGGAGTCCTTTGGAGTCTCTCTAAGTCAGAAAAGCAAGGAAACCAGTTTGACCACACTTTCCTCGGCACAATCCTAGGACCCAGACTTTATGAACACAAGAAACTTTCTGTGAACAGCACAACATAATTAGACGTAATGTTCGAGACACTAAACATGAACTTACTTTAAACACTGCTGTGTCACAGGAATCTAAACTGTCAGAAAAGCCTGCCAGCCAGAGAGACAAGACTTCCACACAAGTTTACAGCCTTTACATGTGCCAGCCAGACAAGTCAACAATCCATTTCCCTTTGGCATAGTTTCCCATGGTATCAATGCCAATGGAGCTCGCTTGAATTACTGATGGAACGGATTTTGTAAATAGCACCTTTAAATAGGAACCCCTGAAAGAAACAGGCACTACTGTAATGCTTCCCCTTGGAAACAAGCAGAATATATTGTTGGAGTGTGGTCTTCCCTAAGGTCTAGAGGCTCCCTCAGATCGAGACCTTTTTTATTTGTTTTGTTTGTTTGAGTGGATGTATGTTTTTAAAAACAATAATGGCAGAAAAAGAACTGGAAAGCAACTGGTTTTCCTAAACCTCCCTTTGCTGGGAACAAAACTTCTGCAAAACATATTTGGAGAAAATGTATTGTTTTAAAACCACCCTAGGAGCTCCAGGGGTGCAGTTGGTTAGCTCGCAGTACTTATGCTAACACCACCCTAGGTCCCTGATGGCAAATATCTGGTGAAATAGGTATAGAGTGGCCATGGAATGTGTCCCTCTAGGAGCGGTCTGGTCAACCAAGGAGCAGGTCATAAGTGTACAGCCTCCACTACAGTTTTGGACTAAGGTGTCCAGCACATTGTTGATGAATGCTTTAACACACACATAAAATGTGATTTTTCAGATCAGCTCTCCTCAAAAGCCCAAGCCAGACAAACCCAATGAATAAGTGAAATTTTAAGATCTTTTTCCATCACTCCTAACAGAATTCTGGCCACTATATTAAGAGTAAATAATCCTTTTTGCTGTTCTAATGTTGCTAGGGAATTTCAATATTGCTTCTAACCTCACATTTTCCAAAATAGGCTTTCCTTCTAGCAAGGTCTTTCCGTCTGAAAGACTTGCTAAGAAAAATATCAGAAGCTGAACTGGGATAGGGAAGGGAGAAATTAGAAGCCCTGTATAGTGAATCTGAACTGTCAGTGAGATCTTGAACCACACACCAGGGTGACTGCATCCAGGCTGCTGAAAGATATCCTTGATTATAAGTCTCTGATCCAGGTCTCCAAACTTTTCTCCCTGAGCAGAATGGGGTAGAAACACCTCCTTGCCTATTGTACTGCAACAAATAAGTCCTCTAAGGACATCTCCCCTTCGACACAGAAAGCCTGAGGAGGAAACATCAAGGCATCTAAGACAGGAACATGAGTCCAATGTTGGAAGGTTGGTAGCAGAGACTGCAAGTTACCGGTGGAACTTCTAAGGGCTGGACTTAAAGGGCCGGACAGGCACGGGGCTAACAGCGTGCCTGTGGCCGTGTAGTACAATCAGGATGAGAGGGGGGAAATGGGGTAAAAGAAGTCACCAGTTTTACTTACAGTCCTCGAAGCCGCAGCCAGATTTTCTCGATCTGCTCCGGTTGCAGGTACTTCAGAGAGTTGCTCTCGAATTCTTCAATCTCCTTGGTTGGGGACTCCATGACTCCAGGCTCTCACTGGGGCGAGGCAAAAGAGTTGGAGATGTCCCCTCCCAACCTCCCTTGGGGTCCAGGCCTGGATCCCCAGCCCCGCGCGCGAGTCACCTCCTCAGCGCTGCCCCTTTTCACCTCCACCCGGGTACCAGGGCCCAGCTCAGAGCCGGCTGGGACCCTGGGCAGCTCCGCCCCAGGCGCACCGGAGGCAGTGGG